GGAGACCCAGCCGGACCTTAGCGTCCTCTTGGCAGGCTTCCTCTGGACCTCCGAGTGTGACCCCGTAAAACGGAACCCTGCCGAGGCGCTCTGGGCCCGCTGGCCGTGTCTGCCTGTGTGTCAGTGCAGGATTTCTCAGTGTCTGCATTGCGCTAAGACTGCAGAGCTCGGGGAGGACGGGGAAAGAGAAGGCAGCCCCCACATCTGTGTCCATGGCCCTGCTCTCAGGAAGCAGCTCGCGAGACGAATGCTCTTTGAATGCCTGTGGGAGAGGCTGTGCTTTTAACTTCCTCATGGTGTCCAGAATATTCCATATGTTCAGTTCTCTACTTCTGTGAGCGCTGGGAGACTCTCACCATATGGGGTAAACAGTGATCTGGGGTGTGGGAGAAACTGGTGTACCCTTGCCCTTAAACAGAGACACTGTCTTGGGGACTGGACTCGGCGCTCATAGACCCTTACAGGTGTGGGGCCATCACCCCTGACATTTCCTCCCTGACACCCGAGCACAGACCCACACTCCGAGGTTCACGCTCGGAGACCTCCAGCTCTGTGCATGCTCTCCTGGTGGCCTCCCGCCGCCGTGGGGACCCGGAATATCAGGGTGCGAGCTGGGCTTCATCGTGCCACGTGCCTCACCCCATCCTCTTCCTCTGCACTAATAATAGCGAGCAAAATGCCTGAAGTGAATCTGGCACACTCGTTTTGCCCGTTTCTTTAAATTTTTGTTTTTGTCTCTGTTTTTTTTACAACTATGGATCAATAATGATTTAAATCTGAGCGTCACATATGCAGATGTGCGTCTTTAATGCATGCACACATATGCAGGCACACAGAGGAGCAGCCTCGGCAAACCTTTGGCAACGGGCGACCCAGGCAGGAAGGGTCCCTCCAGTCTCTAGGGCCCTCATTTTCAAGGCGCGTGCAGTTCTGTGGGTCCTACTTTGGTCCTGAGTGAGACACTTAGGGAGGGGTTAGAACCTCACCACACCGCACAGCATGTCCGTCTCGGGCTGGGGCTGCCGCCCGTGTTCGGTGCCCTCTTCCTAGCAGCTGCACTGTGAGCTGCCAGCTCCCTTCTTGTGCATGCATGTAATGAATTCTCGGTTCTTATTTTAGCATGTTTCCATGACAGGTCCCATGAGCCTTCTCCCCTCCCCTGTCGGAGGGCTAGACACCTGAGAGTATTCTCTATGCCACACATTAATTCTTAGGGACCCCACAGTGAGGAACGTGACACTTCCTTTGATGTTAAATTCCTTCTTCTACCAGCTCAGCTGGCCCAGGTTTGGCCATTTTCCTTAGTTCTCCTCAAATCAGCCTAAACGTTCTTTCATTTCTTTATGAAGGTCCATCAGAGAGCCAGCTTGATTGTGCCATGGCGTCTCTGTGTTTGCTTTGCCGGGTTGAATTTTTACTCTATTTCACCACTCATCATTAAAGATAATCCTTTTTTCTTAAAAATAAAAAAGTATGTTACAGAGAAGGGAACATGTTAACTTTTCTCTTTTGAATTCAAGTTTACTTCCCAGGGACGTTATTCTTAGAACCTTAGCAAGCCAGCAGGCTCCTGTTCGCAGTGGCATCTAGGCATGTACTAGGAGCGTGTCTTATGTGGATTATATTCAGTTATCGAAGCATTGGGCAAGAAAGAGTATGTGTCGGTGGACAAGTTCGAACAAATGGTTTCCATTATTTTACATCAGTTCCATTTAACGCCCCCCTTTGACTGTCGTGCACACAAACGTCTACTGGGCCTTTGGGCCCTGCGTTGTGACGCGTCTCTGGAAGAAGGAAGAGCGAGGATTACGTGGGGTGATGTTTCCCCCTAGTGGTGCCGAGAGGAGACGCATCGAAGAATCAATAGGAAGGCAGCAGACTGGAGAGGGCTTGCGTAGCCCGGGCACAGCTCTTAACACGGCGCATCACATCCGGACACCCTGTGCCTTTTACAGCGCCGTCTTTGTTCTGAAATATTAGCAATCGCTTGTGCTCATAGACTGCTTCTCACCTCTGCACCCAGCAAAAACACCAGCTCTGACCTGGAATCTTGAGACGGACCCCAACACCGCGGCAGCAAGGAGGGGCCCCATCTCCAGGTCCCAGGCTGGCCAGGAGGCCCAGAGATAGTTGTAGCTTCCACCATCCGTATCCTGGGGCAAAGGGGCCTTAAGAGGAGATGAGGTTTATTTTTCTTTCTGTGACATTAGGGCTATAATTTTAAAGCCTAATGTATCTTTGTGTCTTGCCAGTTATCCCAAAGCCTATCTATTTTCTGATCGGTTCCAGACTGTAGTAAGAAAGGGAACATTTACTTATATGTGGTCATTTGATTATTCCTTTTAGATATACATACATACACACACACATACATACACACATGCACACACACATACATACACATATATATACACACATGCACACACACACACATATATATATATATATACATACACACACACAAGGGGTCTTCTGGAAATTAATGAACAATGCATAGTATATTAAAAAATTAAACATGCTTTCAACCTTTTTTTGCACCAGAATAAATTCATACTTTAATCCTAATTTTCCACAAACTTTCTGAAATAACTTTGTATTTAGGTACTTCACACATGTTACGCTGCCCATGAAATTTCCTGAAACGATCACCCAGCAGATGGATGGTGGCAGAAGCTCTATTTGCACTTAGACGTGGTCATGTTCAGCTCCCGAGCTCTCTCCTTAAAATGGCCCATTGCTGCTCACCAAGTGTGTTTGCAGCGACACAGGCAATGGGAAGTGGCCTTGCTGTGTGCGAGTTTGCCAGCAGAGAATGTCATGGTGTTACCCCACGTCAACCCACGCAAACTGGATGCTGACCAGCTCTAGGGCCGATAAAACCCCTGCCAACACCCAGTGGATGAGAAGTTCACCTTTCCTTGTTAAATGAGCCATAGATGTGGACTCAGCAGGGCTACTTGGTTTAATAATGTAGCCTAAGCAGTCTACAACAGAGTATTTGGGTGGATTAGACATCTATGCTTTCTCTTTCTCATTTCTCTTCAATAATGATCCCAGCTGGAAGGATGACCCCCTTTAAAGCAAAAATGGCCAGAAGGCATCTTGTCTCCCTGAATAGTGCAAAACGTTTCATTTGTCTTATGACGTGCAGTCGTAACTTTGTAAAACATCGCATCCTTTGTTGTTTTCAGGTACCTGGATGGGAACCAATTTACACTGGTTCCCAAGGAGCTCTCTAACTACAAGCATTTAACACTTATGTAAGTAAGGTTTTGTGTTTTCCCATCGTGGATGTATGCTAGTTTGTGAAAGAGTAGCCAGCAAGAGGCAGAAAACTTAGTGACCCTTCCAGTCATGAACATCATTCGCAGCTAGATGTGTCCCTCCTTACTCGTGGGGTTCTGGGTCACTACCTACCTCTTCGCTGAATATAGACCAACTGTGGAATGTCTTAGAAAAAGGTCCTCCTCTATTTAAAGAATAAATACAATAAAGTCTAAATAGCAGAGGATTCTAGAAATGGGGTAAAACAATACCTTTATTGATAGTGACTATTTTATGACAAACCAAGCAAAGCAACAGAGGACAATACCTTTATTCTTGACTTTTAGCAAAAGATAGCAGATTTTAATAACGTTACTGAAAATGGACTATAGATTTAGTTTATTAAATTTTAGTTTTTGTATTAATCATTATTAACCAAGTTACGGGTTCTAAATATTCAAATTTATTTTGTAGCGTTTATTTATGCACTCTCCATGTAAACTTGACAAAGACGTTCACATTCTGAGTATAAATTTCAAAATACTGAGTTTCTTTCAATTTGGTTTTATATCCTACTGAAACAACATATTTTTCCATAAATGTAAAATACAAGAAGATATTTATACAGACATTTTGATCTAGTAATGTGCGCATTTGAAAATAGAGATAATCTTGTTACACAGAATTTCACACGGTTAGAGCAGCTTTGCTAGGAATTGATTGAACTTTTCAGGACACACACACACACACACACAAAAACAAACAAAAAAGAAAACAGCAAAAAGTAGATGTGGATGAAGCACACCTGATCATTGGTTTAAATCTGATTTTAGAGTGAATAAATCTACTGAAGACGCAAGTTACTAGGCTTTGTAAGTTTCTAGAAACCGAAGTACTTATTACATGCCCTAATATAAACTGTACCTACGTGTATTGAGGCCAGTTAAAATGCTGTTGACCATTTTGGGGCCAGTAAATGGCATAGTGGTTAAGGCGCTGTACTGGACTCCCACATGGTTGACGACAGTTCAAGTCCCAAACCCGGTGGCTTGAAAACCATGTTGGGCACGTGTGTATGTGTGCCCCAAATCCCATGATGAGAACGTAGAAGGGATTGCAGTGTGTCCATCTCCCCTGGGGAGGTGGTGATTTCTCACTTCCCTCTCACTCTCTCTCTATCTCTCTGGTGAACACACATACCCTATGGCAAAACCCTTTTAAAAAAAATGCTGATCATTTTTGATTTGAAGTATTGGAAACTTAAACACTTTATAGAAACGTGTTTAAATGACAAATGGGTAAGTTACAGGAGAATATACTCTAACATGCCTCGTCCTGCCTGTAGTTATTTATTTAATAGCAGCAAGAACTGATGACATGCATTTTGTCCTGTTAAATAAACCATTGAATTTCTGCAATTTCCAGAGGGTCCCTTTAGCAGAGCTGGGCCATTTGAGGGACAGCATGTGGTTATTTAAAACCAGTTAGAAGTGAGAAATGAGAATTTGTGGATCCAGAAATGGTTTTACTAGTGATTGCTTATCAAATTCTAGGCCAGCGTCTTCTGCTAATTTAGATACATTCATTTTTAAAATTAGGTACAGTACTTCAGGAGCTAAAAACATGGATTCTGAAACTCCTATAAGGCTCCTACCATTTTCACAATTTTATGGATCTATTTTACTGATATCTTGATATTTTAATATGAAAATGAGTAATTCTCAGTTCTTCTGAATTTTCTATTTATTCATACATTTTGCATTGGGAAAAAATTAGTGAATATTTACAGTGACTATATATTGTGACTATACATAGGTATATTAATGAGTATGTGTGTATTGTATATACACATATGCAGAGATCAAACTCATAGAATATATATTATGACTCAGTATAAACTGCACTTCTAAATAGCAATTTAGCATTGATAGACACTCAACATTTCTCTCATTTACTTATAATTTATTCAACAAGTATGTATTGAGGACCTCCTATGGGCCAATGACCAGGCCAATGGCAGAAGCAGAGGCAACTTTAATGGAATTAGACCAGGGTTCTTGTGGATGTCTGAGTGTGTGCATAAGTGAGTATGTACGCACCCGTGAGGACACAGCGTCTGTCTGTATCTGAGGGGACTTTGAAGAACACAGGTTAATTTCTCAACCACAGAAGGCAGCTTTCCCTAGTCACCTCAGGGAAGCTCTCTGTGGACCATCACACGTCTTGAGGCAGGAACAGGGGGAGGTGGGATAATGAGCTTGTTCCGGAGTTGCTGCCCGGATTGAGACCAGCGCAGTGCCAAACCCTCGGCCAGAGCAGGCACAGGGGTCACTCCTCGTTTAACAGGGCAGGGGCAATGGTTATGTGTCACGTTCCAGCCTGCCCCGGGGACGTGTCTGGTCATTTGCAGATAAGACTTGAGTGTACTGCGGTCTACATCTAGGAGCGAGAAGAGACTTCTCCTCCGAGGAACGACGGTTGTTTCCATTTCTGTCCCTAATGGCAGCCTCCATTTCTCTCTTTTTGTCTTTTAGAGACTTAAGTAACAACAGAATAAGCACCCTTTCCAATCAGAGCTTCAGCAACATGACACAGCTCCTCACCCTGTGAGTGTGACCGTGTGGTAGTGAGTGTTCACTAATTGTCGGAGCGAGAGGCATTTCCTGGATGCTGGATATTACTGGCGAGCAAGACTACCCTCAAGGAATGTTTCTATTGGGAGAAACAAAACCTCAACCAATGAACAAATACAGAAATTACCCCCTCAAAAAACAGCTGGGCTTTATAAAAGTAACAAAGAATGATTTATGTTGAGGTCGGGGTTAGCGGAGATCTTTAGGGAACGTCAGAAGGGGATGGTCAAGGCACCAGCCTCTTTTGGGATTGGTACAGGGAAGCACCGTAGGCTGAATTTAGGAAATAAATACGTTGTATTAGGGAAACAACACAAAAATATGTTTCGTATGTCCATTTATAGTGGACAGATAGCCCTTTATTAACATTTCTACTTCAAAAATGCCATGTGTCCATCTGGGAC